TCTTGTAGGGCGTCAGGAATATGACATTCACAAGAAAGTAAAAATTTAACACTAGGTATGGAAGAGGGGCAATCCATAGAAATTATAAAAAATAGACTTGCAAAAGTCTGCAAAATAATCAAGAACCAGTGCAGTCACCCAGTTATATGCACAGCATAAGGGAAAGCAGAATACGTGTATAACCTGTGGCTACTGCCAAGCAGGTGGTGATCCCTGTCTCAAACACTTACAGTATGAATACCTGCAGAGAGAATGAGTGTTTATCCAAGTTCATACAGGAGAATAAGCCATGATTTAATATAAATGTCTTTAGTAACTAACAAGGTAGATAAAGGATTGGAAAACCAGAGAATTAAGTCTTACATTCTGAAGTCAGAATCATGCAAAAATTCTGGCAGTTTGTGAACTCTACATATTTTTTGCTTTATGCTCTTACCATTTTGACATACATCTTTAGCTGTTCGGTCAGTATTTCTTTTGCCTCCTCGATCTAAAGAATCATTGCATGGCGAGAGTGATAGCTCCAATCTCTCAATGTCTTGCACGGCTTCAATTCCCTTTCGCGAACTTTGAAGTCTGCATGATCTATTACTTTTGCTACCCCAGGTCTTTGTTACCTTGAAAGACATTATTTTCTTAATGAAAGACAAAAATGTAACAGCTTTCAAAATACTCAACGGTAAAAATACATTTTGAATTAAGCTTATTTTTCAAATCCTTTTTTTTTTTTTAAATATTATCTTTTCAGGAAAATTTATGGTAGGTACAGTTCTGTGTGATACCTTCAATCTTTACAGTGTAGTAACAGGCAGGGTTTTTTCACTGAGTGAAAGGAAAACAAGGCAAAGAAAAGGAAAAAAAAATTAAAATTCACTATCTGGATAAAAAGACAGTGAAACTTATGAATATTCTAGACCTGAGAAGCAGCCCCTTCTTCTTCAGGGAAAGGAATCTCATTTTACATCTTAGCTTTCAATTGACTTCTTACAGAGGAGTCTACTTCCTTTGGCTGGATCCTTTATTCACAGTGTTAAACGGGGAACTGTAGTCCCAACCAGATTCCCGAAACCTGCATATTGTTTGCTGGCAGAGGGAGACCAGCTGTTTTCCCTGGCATTGTACTTGACAGCATCACATGAGATACTGTATGGCTGACTATCATCCACTTAGCGCATATCAAAATGCAGAGTTTCTGCTCTGCATCATATTTCTTATCTTAAGGAAAAAAAATTATACACACACAAAAATTTCAGCAGTCTAGAACAAAAAATTTATTAAAAAAAGAATGATAAGAAATCAGAGTAATTTCAGTAGGAAAAGACCTCTGTACACCTAAAGCTGAAATTAGATCAGCTTGTTCCAGTCAAGTTTTGTTACCTTTGAAAGTTTTGAAATTCCACAATCTCCTTGTGATCCTGTTCCAGTACTGAACCACTTTATCGTTATACCCAGTCATAGCTTCCCTGCAATTTGCGCCTGCTGCCTCTTGTCCCTTCATCACTACACCTCTTAGAAGAATCTGGGCCTGTCTTCTCTACAACCCTGCTTTAGTTGAAAACAGCAACTAGATTCTCCCTTAGCCTTCTCTTGCGCAGGCTGAACAAACCCATGTC